GGGCGGGACAAGGCGGGGGCAGGGCGGGGCGGGGGGTCTTACCTAAACCCCCCTGTGCCTTCTCATTCCCCTCTTCCCCCTGTCCCCCCTTCCAGGCCCTGTTCCGCCGCGCCCAGCTGAAGGCGCTGGTAGACCTGCACGGCACTGGAGCGGGTTTCGGAGGCACCCTCAGTGAAGACGAGGTACACGTCATCAGAGGCGCACTGGACCTGACCAACAAGGTGGGTCCCGGGGGTGTGTGTTGAGTTGACCCCGGGGGTGCGAAGGGGGTGCCGTGTATGAATAGAGGAGTCAAAGGAGTCGGAGCCGGACGGACGCGGGTAGTAGGAGTAGGATTAGCAAGGGGGTGCAAAGTAGCTTGTAAGCGGAGCTCACTGTGCGCCACGTAATCATGCACATCAGCTTCATCAAAAACGTCCGGGCCCTTTTGCACTTCTGATCTAATACGCCTCTCTCTCTCTCTCTCTCTCTCTCTCTCTCTCTCTTTTTTTTTTTTTTTCCCCCTCTCCCCCCACCTGCCCCTATCCCTAATATTAGCACCACTCGTCTGTGGCTCGTCATCCCTCCCCTCTCCCCCCCTCCTCCCCCCACTTGATACCCCCCGCACCCCCCGCCCCGGGGGGGGGCGCTGTGCAGGTCGCGTGCAAGTCCATGACCCCTCTCGACAAGGTGTTCATGCTATCCACGGCGGACCGTCTCGATGAGGGGACGCTGAGGGCCATACTCTTGTCGGGGCACAGCAGGATACCCGTACATAGGTAGGAGGGGGGAGGGGGAAAACGGGGGGTTTTAAAACCCTAAAACCCCTCGGCCCCCACCGATAACGACCTTGTGTTCCCCTTCCCACTTACCCCCGACACCTCTACGGTGCCGGACGCGCTCATTTTCCCGTTCTCTCTTTCCCCACCCCCCAACACACATACACACATACACCTTTCCCTCCGTCCCCCTTCCTTACCCCCCCTTTACCCCCCCTTTACCCCCCCCCACCAACCTCACAACCTTTCGTGCTCTCTGCCTCGAATGCGCCCTTGCCCTTGCCGCTTCTTCTGCCGCCTGGCCGCCAGGTGAGTCCGAGGATGTTCGAGAGCTTTGTCGGTTAATACCGTTGCGTCGGTCGGTTATAGCTGGGTTGGGATGGTTGGGTCGGTCGGGTCAGGGCCGGGTTAGGTGGTGGGGTGGGGAGGAGCACTTGCATGTTTGGTTACCAGCAGTTTATTCCCGACAGCCTACCAGCCAGATTTTTTGCCTTCGTTCCTTCCTTCCTTGGGGGGGCCGGTAAAATTCAGAATCTACCTATGCGGATGAATTATTATCCTTTGCATTTACCTTTAGAACCCGACGGAGGGTGTTTTGCTTTCTTTCCGCGTTTTATTTTAGCCTTGGCGGCCAGGTTAATAGTTTTCCGATATCGCCATATGACTACTGCTAACATCATCGGGAAAAGACTTTTTTTTTTTCACACGCCCCGACTGGTTAGTTAGGGCTTGCTTCCTTACTTCTGGGGTACCTCAGTCTATATCCTTTTTGGCATCAACTTCACTGGTTCACGGGGTTCGTCTTTCCCCCCCCTGGCCCCCCCCCCCCCCCGAACCACCGGAGCTCGCGCCAGGGAGGGCAACCGCAAGGTGATCACCGGCCTCATTTTGGTGAAGGAGCTCGTACTCATAAACCCGGCAGATAACGTCCCCGTGTCGTCGTTGAGACTGAGGGAGCTGCCGCGACTGGCAGCTGACACGCCAATGTACGACATGCTCAAGCTGTTTGAAACCGGCAAGAGCCACATGGCCGTACTGACACGAGCACCCGGAGGTGGCCCCCTCAGTCCCCACCACCCCGCCACGCACCAAGGCGGGGGGGGGTCGGAGGTGGATTTGGCACACGGCGCATCCGTACAGGGGGGCCGCAAGCCGGGTGGGTGTCTGGGAGGTCTACCTGGGGCAGGAAGGAAGGGAGGAGGGGGGGGGAC